AAAAAAATCACCTGTGAAAAATTGAATGACCCTTTGAGCTAAGGTTGATCACCTGGTTGTCCCCATATTTTCTCAGGGATGCGTTCAGGACACTTTTCACCCATCAAACTAAACCTAATGAGTCATAGAGTAAAATGATAAGAACTGACAGTTTTAAAGGTTTTTGTGAAGAAAAACCACAACTAACCAAAGTATTAAAACTCCACACTGCTCTTGTATTTATTCTTGAACAGTTAATTTCCTGAGGATTGTTGAGCAGCACAGACTCTTCTCACTTTTTTTGATTAATATTGACGGATTTGTCTTTAGGTTCATATCATTGTCTAGATCAGCACATTTACAGTATGTGGTCATGTCCTGTTTGTCATTATAGTGCTCTAGTATTTATCTTGTATGTGTGTAATAAACTGAGCTACCAACTGCCACAGTAATTACGTTTACTCGTGGATAATTTTTTTTCCTGCTAAAGTCATACTAAGATCAGAATCGTACAGAAACTACACAAATGTTTTGGGTTCCTCCTCATTGCTTTATATTTTGCTTCCAAGGAGACAGACTTTCTTCCAATTTTTTAAAGGTGTTGAGTAGTAGTTCTCCAGGCTTTTAAAAATTTTTCTTTGGGCATTGGCTGCTTGTTTCACTTTTTCAGTCCGTATATTTGTCCATTTTCAGAGGAATGTTTTGTTTATTGAACCACTAAATAATCTGAACAATTATGAATTATTCTTCATATTAATTTTATATTAATAAAAAATAACTACGTTTATTTTGAGCAAACATCGAGTAGTCTTACTGCTCCTTAAAAGGTTAGTCGACTATGTCCCAAAAAAGTAAGTAATAATAAATAAATAATATTTTATTAATAGTAAAAAATAACAAATGACGGAATGAAGACTGTGAATTTCTTTCACAGCTGTTTTCTTTTTATTTCAAATCCAGAATTCCTTCTGCGCCATGTTTGACTCTGGTTTAGATTAGTTGCTAGGTTTTGTTGCGAGGCAACCGTGGAACCAGTAGACGAATGACGTTAATAAGCGTCATCAATGCGAGCCCAAGTGCTTTCCCTCCCCAAACTAAAGCGGAAGTAAACAAATCAAACATGAGCTGGGACCGTATTACACCCGTTATTGCAAAATCTGCTTGTTGAACTGTAGCTTTAGATTGCGGGTTGGTTCTGTTAATATCGGCTCATAAATACATCTTAGAGGCAGCTGAAACAACCCGCCACCTTCAACCCACAGCGAAAATCAAGTAACAGTAAAATCAAGTTGGCGCGTTTTGGATGAAGAGCAATATTTGCTTACACTGACCAACATAATGGACTGTAGCACCGCTGACCTGCACGCTAACGTGGCACACGACTCTCCAGGTAGCCGGATGCTCTTCTTAATTTTACCTGAAGAGGCATACATGTTATTGAACTGCGCAGCTAACTGCTAACTTAGCTTATAACTTCGCGGTAAAGCACCCACGCCACTGCTGATAGCTTGATTTAAAAGCGTTAATCATGAAAAAGTTTAACCTGATTTAATTCAGTAATAATTTTTTTAACGGTGGGTATGGTTTGATCAGAGATTTTTGCAAAACATCACTTTTGCACACAAGACGTACTTCTGGTATTAATGATAAACTGTGATGGATAATGGAAACTTAGCTAAACACTACGCTCTTCTCCTCATACTACAGTTATTGCACGTGTAACTAGACCACATTCACGTGTACGTTTTGCTTTTGACTTTGGAGATTTTAAATTCATATAAGAAAATATGTGCCTTTATAGTAATACATAATTAAATCCCCAATATTTGATCAATGATAAGTCTAGCTAAGATTAGCTCAGTGTGGACCAGATACATCATTGAGTGGCTGTATATTCATAGGTTATTATCAGGAATGTATTCAAAGGGAAAGAAAGGACAGAATACTAGGGATGCTAGGCATCAGAAAAAGATGGCAAGTGAAGGCTTAAAGTGAGTTTTGTATGCAACTCGACACTACGGATGGAGAAAATGGGCCGGGGTGAGTAGTAAGGAGTAACTGAGGGCATCTATGAAGAGAATGAAGGGTGGGGAGAGATGAAGACATGACATACCTGTGGAAGTATGGAGAAGTCTAGGAGAGAATGTCTTTGGAATCAGAATACTTTATTAGTCCCCAAGGAAATTATGTGGGTTACAGTTGCTCCAAGACAGTAACAGTAACAGACTAAACTATTTAAATAATACAATATGTTACAGAGTTTACAAACTTATGAAGTAGCGCTAATATATACAAATTGCGCAATTATACACATCACGGATATTACAGAGGTGATTATAAATATCAAGAATATTGACAAAGAATTTTACAGAGGTGGAATATATATGATTCACATTTAATTCTGAATCTGTGAATTTTGTAATTTGCTATTTTACTGTAGAGCGTGTGCAAAAAAGGGTGTAACTATTATTGCAGTGTTAATAGTGTTTTAGGTGGAGGAGTTGTACAGGGAGATGGCCACGACAGGAATGATTTCCTGTGTTGTGCAGTGGTGCTTTTTGGTAATCTCAGTCTCTCACTGAACATGCTCCTGTGACTACTTGGAGAGTAAGAGGATGCCTGAGGGATGGAAAAGACAGACTGGTACTGATTTTCAAGAATAAGGGAAATGTTCAGTGCTGTAGTAACTACAGAGGGATAGAGTTGATGAGTCATTGTTGAAGCTAGGCTGAGAAGAGAAGTTATGAGGTGACGATCTGTGAGGAGCAGTACGATTTCTTTCTGAAAAATAATACTACAAACGTGATGTTTTGAGAGTGTTGATGGAGAAGAATATAGAAGGTTTGATGGAGGTGCAGGACATGATGATGGTCATGGTGAGTACAGTGAGATAGTAGTGTAATGGGTGGAGGTGGGATTACATTGGGGACTGGGTCTCAGTCCTTTTTTCTTTGCAGTGGGTCATGTATGAGGTCAGACAGGAGTCTCTATGGTGTAGGATGTTTGTAGACGACATTGTGATCAGCAGGGACCAGGTGGACCTGCTATGATGTATGTTTTGAAGATGGTGACAAAAACACTGGAGGACGAGCTGGAGGAGGCAGAGTTGACAATATTAAGATTGTAATGGGGACTAACCAGAATGGATAAGATTAGAAATGAGTACATCAGAGGGGCAGCTCAGGTTGAGCTGTTTGGAGACAATGTTAGAGAGACAAGGCTGAGATGGTTTGGGCATGTGGAGAGGGATATATATGGATGGGTATATTGGAGGAGTTGGTATGACAGAGGAGATTGCTAAGAAAAGGTTGAGATTGAGGCAGATGATCTGCTGTGATGACCCTCAAAAGGGAGCATCTGAAAGAAGAAGAAAATGATGATGTACTCAGCATATGATAAGAAAGGGATGTACTGAGCCAATGCATGATAAATGGATATTGCTAAATAAGTTGTCATTTCACAATCATACTGCACCATATGACATACAGTATGAAATGGTGCAACTGTGGCAAGAAAGTTAAAGATCAACATTGGATTTTTGTATAGAAAGAAACGCTGTTTCTCATCCACTGGGTGTAGCATCATAGCACAGTCTGCAGATTTATGTTTTATTTTTATTGCGACCTTGTTTATATGAATGATTCTGCATCCAATTTGAAGCCTCTTAAGCCATGGTATTATTGTGCACTGGGTTTTTTGCAACTACCTTTGAACATCCTGTTTTATTTATGAACATGTATATTGCGTTCTTCTCTGTCTGTCTAAAGTCGTGTATTTTTTTTGTCTTTGTTGAAAAAAAGATCTTGATCTGAGATGACCTGTTCAAATAAAGGAATTAATCGTAATAATAATCAGTGTGTCAAATGAAGGTGAATGCAATAAGAGATCATCACATGAATGCTGTTTTTTTATTAAATCACAAATATGATTTGATTTTTGAAAAGATTTCATATTAAGTAGCTTATTCTTTTTTCTAAAGTAACATTAACTACATTATTACATTTGCTGTACCAAAAATACTGATATTTACAGTTATTTATCCGACTGTGTCTCTGACTAATCAGATGTGAGCTCCAGCAGTGATGAGGACTTAGTGCCTCTATCAAAGCTGCTGATGAGGCAACAGAGTGATGAGAAGGAGTCATGCGACAATACCCGCAGCTTATCCTCCAACTCCAACAATAAATCAAAAAAGGACAAAGGTGATGGTAATACCAGCTGTTTTATCAGTAAAAGTGTTTACACTAAATATTTCTCCGACCAATTATTTGGTTACATTTTGCATGTTTATATCTTCTCTCACAGGTTCAGATGGCTCCTCGGATGATGAGCCGCTAGTAAAGATGAAGACAAGCCTTGCACCACCTAAGAAACAAGAGAAAAAGGAAAACACACCACCCAAATCTAACAGCACAAATAACAAGAACACAGGTGACCACGTGCTCTTTTCATCGTTTGTTCTTCTGACTTGTGTATAGAGTGAATGGCTTCACATTTTTGCTTTCTGTGTTTAAATACAGACGAAGACTCTGACAACGAGCCTTTGATAAAAATTGCCAAAATGTCCTTGAAAGCTGTGAAAAAACCTCCCTCAGTTCCAACCAAAAAAGCTGCTGGTAGAAAGAAGAAAGGTGAGATGACTTTCTCTCCAGTGGACTGGGGTATCGTCAGACATCTGCTATATCAGATACTTACTTTGGGATTCCTTTTCTCACACAGAGTCACTGGGCAAGGACGACAGCTCCGATGATGAGCCTTTTAGTCAAGTTGCCAAGAAACCTCAGTCACGGCACGAGAGAAGGGCAGCTGCTGAAAAAGCAAACCCGGTTACCAAATCCAAAAGAAATGCTGCAAAGAAAAAGGGTTGGTTTGAAAGTTTGAGCTCAACTAAAATAAAAAAAACCCCACAAGACCTTTTATTGAGTTCAAATAACTTGTTGCTGTTTTGTTTAGTTAAATATACTGAGACATCCACTGACAGCTCAGATGATGAGCCACTGGCAGCGATAAAGAGGAAGTCATCGAAACATAAAGGTAGGCAAAGTCTTCAGTAGGCTGAGCGCAAGGATTGATTTTAAGCAGGTTTTAACTGTTGGTAGTTTCGTTTTTAGCCTCTTGAATTTTAAAACAGCGCTTTATTTGCAGACAGCAGCTCAGATGACGATGTGCCCCTTGTGGACTTTGTTGCCAAGAAAAGGAGGCCAGTGAAGAAAAGCCCAAAGAAGAGCACTGTAACACGAGGGCGAGCATCGAACAAGAGAAAAGGTACTCTCACAGCACTGATGACTTGAACAAAACAAAGAAATGTTTAAAACATTTTCAATCTTTGTTTTAGCAGAAGTCAGTGATGATAGCTCAGATGAAGAACCGTTGATTAATCTTGTGAAAAAACCTCGTGCTATCAAAAAACCCAAAACAAAGGCTCCCACTCGGAAGAAGAAGAGCACACCTTCTAGGAGTCCAAGAAAGAAGCCAGGTAAAGACTGACCACACCACTCTGAGATGTCACATTTATAACTTAGAAGTTTGAGTCATTACCCACTCGTGATTATTTTCTAAAAAGCCGAGTCACACACAGATGTTACAACTAAGCTCTGGCCCCATGAAAAATTACAGATCAGTTCACCAAGTACACGACAATAAGAAATAACATATCCTTACAAGGTGGGCTATTCCAGTTTTGGCTACTCACATGTAACAGTTAAAGGTTGTGCTGTTGTGACATTCACCTTAATTCATTTGTTGATGAGTAACAGTAACTACCAAAGTCAGAAACAAACTTCCATACTGCTCCGTTTGGTGTAGTAACAAACATACGTCTTACAAGCTTCTGAAATATTAAACAATTTGTCACAGTTGTTTAATCGGCTTCCTTAATCGGCTGAATATTTGATTTTGAGCTCACATTTTTCACTCTGCAGGCATCAGTTTATCAATAAACAAGGAGGACAATTTGTCAACTTTGAATATTAATTTTCTCAAAGCCATCTAGAGACTGTCTGGAGTCTACTACATAAATTACACAAGTACACCACACCTAGGAATGTGCTAAAGTCTTAGCCATGGTAGCTGACACAAGTGTAAGCATTAGCCATTTAGAGTTATCAGTCTGATTGGTGCATTTTAATGTCTTCCCTCTCTGCTGTGCCTCTGATTGGTGGATAATTCTGATGTGTTTTCACAGGAAAAGCTTTCTAGTTAACCCGTCAACCTACCAGCGTTTTAGCAGCGAGCACAATCCCATCAGAAATCACACAGTCTAGT